CCCCCAAGCCGGTTCTGGGCACATCCCACAGGGCCCGCGCCGATCGGATGTTTACCGCCAGGGCCTCCTGTGCGCGGGCCACGTCGGCCTTGGGGTTCAGGGTCTTCACGGCGGCCTTCGCTGCCCCAGCTGAGGAGGAGGGGGACACAGGGGTGCGGAGTGCAGCCCGGACCAGCGTGGCTGGCTCTTCTCTCGGAACAAACACTCTTGGAGCCCGCCCAACGGTCTCCGTGCCACGGACGAGGCGGGAGATGGGCCTGTCTGACCCGCGCCCTTGCGCTCTTTTGTCCTCTGGGCCCTGCAGAAGCAGCAGAAGACAGCGCAGCACGTCCGCCCCAACCCCACACGGTGCCGTCCTGGATGCAGTTCTGCTACCCACGTGCCTGTGTAAGAAGAGAGCCGAAGCAAGTAGGGGAGAGAAGGTGCGCGAGATGCCCGCCTGCTGCTGAGATCTGTCCCGCGGCTGTGACCTGGACTCCGAATTTCTGAACGAAGCTCCCTCGTCCCCCGATGGATGACAGTTCCGAAGGCAGGGATTCCTGGGCTGCAGTTGGAAAGCAGCCTCCCGATTCTCTGGCTTCCTGGTAACAGTAGAGATCACTGTTGCCCTAGCAGGCTGGTCTCTCGGGTGGTATTCTGTGCTTATTCCTGGAAACTCAGCTCAGCTAAAACCCATTCTTTTAACATTTCCAAGACTTTTGTAAGCATGTTTCCCCCTGTATTTTGTCCTTTTTATGTTAAAATTGGCTAAGTGGGTTCTTTGGTCTTCAGCTGATCCTAGATTGATATTTTTTAAGAGCTACCTGTCTGGTGATCACTGTTCAAACTTTACTTTGGTATTTCATGTACAGAGTAAACAAGAGAACTCTTCAAGGACAAGAGGAACCCCCTCCCCCCAAAAAGGAAATAGCCCATAATAAACAGAGCAGAGAATCCACTGAAAGAGACAATTCCCCTACACATTTTTGGCATCAGGCTTCCATAGTGACAGGCACAACACTCGCCTACTGTCAAATTAATAAAGCCACAGCACATTTTAATGCTCTCCTGGACTAGTCTACGTGCTTTTACCTCAAAGGGAACAAAAGCTAAAAAGACAATGAGTCTTTGTTTTTTCCCAGCACTAACACAGCAGAGATGAGGACAAGGCGTAGAGAGCCCACACTGGAGACCAGGCAGCTGGCACAGAGCAAAAGCTTGGATAAACACCGGACAAGAACAAGTAGGCTATGGATTCCTGCATTTTAAATTTGTTTCTCTGATTTCCCTCTGTATTTGTTCATACTTTGAACACTTGTCGAGCAGACCCTGTGGACTTGAAACTGGGCTGGTCACGAGGTGTGAGGCACTTTGGAGAATAAAAAGGACGAATCAAGGTATTTGTTTTCTTATGAGGGAGGAAGACACCAAGTTGATCGCAGAAGTGTTTAACTGAAATTATCATATGTGTGAAAGACATAAATGAAGCCATGAGATGACACGATCATGGGATTACATACCCATCTTGCTTCAGGAAATATTTGAGCTAAACTCTGAAAGACAAGTGGGAATGTGTGAAGGAGGCAGAGAGGAGAGTTTCCTTGGCAAAGCTGTGGCATCTAGATGGCAGAGGAGAGCAGTTCCTGGTACTCTGTTAACAATGAGCTTGTAATAGGAAAAGTTCTTTCTTGAGTCACTTTATCAGATCAGAAGCAGAATATAGACTTCATGTTTCAGAGAACATGGGGAATGGAACACTTAGTTAATAGAAGTAAAAGGAGGGAAACATGGAGGGAAAACTGTATGAAATAGGAAGTAAATGAGAAGAATATTTCCCTAGAAAGTCTTTTCCACCTGTGACACACCTGGGAATCCATTTCCTTTCTGATCTCGACGATATTCTTCAAAGAACAGTCAGGTAGAATCTCACATCACCAAGGGACAGACTGATAAGCCACTGGTTTTCCTCTAGTTCCTCACCCCCTCACCCCATCAAATTCTATCTCCAGTATTACATTCATCTCTGCTTGAGAACCGGAAGGGTCTTCCATCTCTCCTGGCCACGAGCTTGTGCAGTTGGTTGATTGTGGGGTGGGTACAATGAGAGATCTACCCATGACAGAAGACAGGTGTGCCTCTGGGGATGTCTACAGCACATTACCTATCATGGGAGACAGGGTGGGTCAACAGTGGCTTCACTGCATAATCACATTTCATTTTCAACTACAGCATTATCCCACTACTATTTTATTTTGTATAATCTGATAGCAAAAGAACCTGAAGCAAGTTCTTTGAATGTTATTTGATTTCTCTTGATGTGCACACTTGGGTATCTTGCAAGAAAGTGTCGTGATCTTGGTTGGCTTACTTAGATTAAGAATAATGTTAAACTTTATAAGATTATTTTCTTAAGAAGAGACAAACTAACAAAGCAGGTGCCAGGAGATTCAGCCTCATGTGGAGATTTTGCCAAGATCTTTCAAAGCATCTTCTCTCCCCCTGTTCCTTTTATTTCACTACTTAAAAAATAAATCTTTTTCTCTTGTTTTTGGAAAAATAAGTCTTTAGAATAGATTCTTTAGCTCCTTCTTGCTATTAGCTAATGCACAAGGCAATCTCTCTTGGAAAGTGTTTGATTTGTTATAACCACTGTTTCTAAACCTGGGGTGCATGTGTATTATAAAAGCCTCAGCAGGATCATATTCTGCTCCCAGGTTTAGGAAACTTGGAAAAAATAATTATTTTTTTAATCCTTCTTAGGACCACACAGTCTCTATTTTTTTTTACTTTTTCTTCTATTAAAACCCTCAGTAAGGGGAATGGGGAAAAAATAAAAACCAAGATATATCATGTAAAGGTACAAGTTCCCAGTGATGAATGTAACTGAATTGTATACCTAAAATGTACCAATAAACTTAATGAAAACAAAAAACCCCAGTAATCAGAGCAAATAAGCTCGGTTTGAGAGCAATCACTCTTAGGTATAAATACATTTCATTCTGAATAACTTAGATTAAATGTGTGAGTTTAGGGAGTCATGAAGAAGTCAAGTGGCTTTTCCTAGAATTTCTACTATTGGCATCTTTGCAGCAATATTCTCTTCTGCTTATTTATGTGCAGTGGAAAAACTGCTTATGAATTGTGGGACTTTTGTGTTTTATATTATAGGAAATATAAAAGACTCATAGGAATATGCACTCTAAGTTGGACTATATCAGTGATGGTGAACCTTTTAGAGATGAGTGCCCAAACCGCAACTGAAAGCCCACTTATTCATTGTGAAGTGCCAACACTGCAATTAAACCTGAATACCGAGGTTTTAGTATAGAAAAAAAATGCATACATCGACATCTTTTGTCTTGAAAAACAAATAAGAAGCATGCCATAGCTTCACCACCACTGGACTAAATATATCATAATCTCATATTTTTATCAAGGAATGGAAGAAATAAATGGGTATAGGCAAACATTTTAGCACCGTGATCTATAAAAGCTAAGATGAAGATGCTGAGCACAAGTTCCTTGTCCTCATTTGTCTTACCTTCTCGTAATTTAAAAAAGAAATGACTCAGGATATTTTAGAAAAGCACTTCAAGACTGAACCACTTTAAACATATCTTATTAGATAAAACATATAAGAATACTTTCTGACAATAATGTCAATTGGTTTGCATAAATTAGTCATTTGAATTTTACCCCCCAAATTTAAAAAGGCAAAATGAGATGCCTTGACTTTGAACTTGATTTTGGAGTGTAAAGCATTAGAAGTGATTTGTGGCTTGGCGGGGTGGATGTTGGTACCATTCCTAAATATAATGCGAATTGCAAGAGCAGGCGTGGAGAAGTCCATGAGTTGATGTTAAAGTGCAATCACATAGCCAGCCCTGTCTGCTGTATTTGTTGAGGACAGAAGCAGAGAGTTCTAAGTGGGAAGGAGAGAGAAGAGCAGAGGCATCAAGGGTCCAACAGATTGCTGCCTCCTGGGAAGCTGCTTTTCGTTGGTGGTCTACACTGGCAAAGTAGAGAGAATGTCTGCGTGGAAGGGAGTTTCAGAGACCTTCTTTGATTATTCTATCAGAACCTTCAAGGAATTTGGCCATTCTTCGGGTGCCTTCAGCTAGGACAAATGAAGACAAAGCTCTCTCCATTCCCACGGCTCCTCCAGTTCCTTCCTCCCCATCAGCAGCTCCCAACATGTACACAGATTGTATTTGTGTAGTTGAGGCCTCAGGAAATCAAAAGTTGCTACGGCGCAGGGCATTTGCTTACAGTCTTACTAAATGACCCTCTGTCCAGCCTTTCCACGTGGACTCTATAGTCTGCTAAAGGGGGGAAGAACATGCTCTTCTTCATCTTGGCACCTCATCAGGGAATCCTGGTTTCACTCTTCCTTAGGGCCCCTTTCCGTCCTGTCTGGTTCTCACGTGCTTAGAGAGAACAACGACAGCGTTCCATTCACTCCTGCTGGCAGAAAGGGCCACGTCAGCCAGCGTCCCCTGACACCCTGGAGGCTTTCAGGCAGTCCATCAGCAAAGGCCTCTTTCTCACTTCGGCAGAGTCTAGCCTGCCTGTGTGCTCCCTGCCAATAAAAGAGAAAACAAAGCACACTGTTCAGACTTTCTTGTGTGCGAAGTCTGGCGCTTCAATGGCTTTCTGTAAGAGGGTCCTCATCTGAAACCAGCTCTGCCATGAACGGAAATCAATTTCAATGTGCTATTGTGCCTCTCCTTTTGCTCCACAGTTGGAGAAGGCCTCTGCCAAGTTTTTTCACGGAGCCTGAAAGACCCTCTCTCATTTCCCTGTTCCCTGGCCCCAGCCCCTCCGGACTCCTGCAGAGCATTCTCAGGCCCGGGGCTGCAGCGTGGACTGGGTAGAGCTGACCTGCTCTGCTAACCCAGTGGCCTGAGCCAATCACAGAGCGCACAGACGCTCGCCTTCCATCCCCTCCCCCCGCGACAGCCTACTGGAGAGAGGGACTCTGCAGGGGGAGTCTGCAATGCAATCCCGGGCAGGGCGTGGGGCCAGCTGCTTTTCCAAATAAGAAGGCGGAGCAGCCACTGAGGTGTGGGTCCTGTGGGTCTCAGAGGCAAGGAACAGGAACGTGGGTTTCTGGCCTCATCTGTCTTCCAAGCTAGAGGGAAGAAAGGCAAGGATGGTGGAGGCTTTCTGTGCTACCTGGAAGCTGACAGACAGTCAGAACTTTGACGAGTACATGAAGGCCCTAGGTGGGTAAGACTGAGACAGGCTGGGCTCTCTCTGTCCCGTTTCCAACCTTGCAGGTTCCCGTCTCCACCCATCAGGTCAACAAGAGATCACATTGTCCTATGCTGGGCCAGACTCGGATTTTAATGTGGCAGCAGCCTAGTTTCTTGGCCGGGGCCACATGGACGGGGCGTTTGCTATTCTGCAGCGCACGTGAAGCAGTGTGCCTTTGCCAGTCTCTCCCGGCATTCACTATTCGTGCTCAGTAGTGGCAGGACTCATGGACTAGTCGTTAATCGTGATCCCTGTCTAACGGGACTTACACCTGCGAACTTGGGCTCCTGGAATGGGCAGCGGATGCGTGTTGTGAGCCACTGTGGAAGTGGCTGCTGATTTTACCAGTTCCTTTCGCTGTTGTAGGTGTGGGCTTTGCCACTAGGCAGGTGGGGAATGTGACCAAGCCAACAGTGATTATCAGCCAGGAAGCGGGCAAGGTGGTCATCAGGACCCAGTGCACGTTCAAGAACACGGAGATCAGCTTCCATCTGGGGGAGGAGTTTGACGAGATCAGTGTAGATGACAGGAAGTGTAAGGTAAGCTACTTCTTCTTGGAGTGAGGATGGGGAGGGGAAGAACAGAGATCCCTGATCCTTGACTTTGTCTCTTTTCTTCAAAGTTGGCTGTACAGAATGTTTTCAGTATTTCCATTTGGGGAGAAGGAAGAAAGACCCTGAGCTACCGCCCTTGGGGCCTCTCTGTTCTGAGACCCAAATCTCTGACCCGTTTGTCTCTTGTCACACACTTTTGATATCTTACATCAAGCTTATCTTCCAGGAGGTGTTAAACGGTGTCCTTGCAATAGAAATACTGCGCCTTGTTTACCTCCCCGATTACCTCCGGTTTTCTGACGAGTTTTCTTCCTCAGACTTTGCTTAAGAGCCAAAGGGTGACGAAGGGGAAAGGCCTGGTTCAGTTTTAATTTCCACTGTGTAAGTTTGCATCTACATGGACGTATTTCAGTCAGATTAGGAGTGGAGTTTACCTGATAACCTAGGAGGAGCAGAAGGTAAAGAACTAGGAGGATGTAGCTGGTGACAGTTCACTCAACTACGAAGTCCTTCCACAGCGTATGTCATCTGACTTCCCTATCAGAAGTCTGACTTGTTCCTACTGTAATATTCTGTGTTGGTCTCAGTCTGTTGTCAGCCTGGAGGGAGACAAACTCATTCACACACAGAAATGGGATGGCAAGGAGACAAAATTTGTGAGAGAAATTAAGGATGGCAAAATGGTTCTGGTAAGTGACAAATGACCGTATTTTCGGCCCCATTCTCTCTTCCTCCCTTCTTTTCTCTCCCTTTCTTCTCTCTTTTCCTTTAAAATAATACCATGTCACTAGCAAGGTTCTTTAACAATATATAAATGGGAGAAATCAAAAGACCTAGTTGTTATCTTAGCTGAGACGCTTTGATTATAGAAAAAGGCCTGTTTAGGGTTTTTTAATGTGCCATTGGTTTACTCAAAACTGTGTCAAAACAACAATTTTTGCAATACTGTGAGTATCTAACCTTCCAGTGAAACTTAAATGTAAAACCAATAACCACAAAAAATATATAAAGAAGATCGTCTTAGTTCCTTTTCTCATTGCCGAGACAAAATACCTGACACCCACAAGTTAAGGGAGCAAAGTTTCATTTGGCTTACAGTTTGTGGAGGATTCAGTTCGCAGGCCACTGGCACTAAGGCAGAGAGACACATGGCAGAGGGGACCACAGAGGAGAAACAGTTCATTGCAGGCAAAGACAGCAAAAGCCATGAGGGGTGGTCTCAGCTCTTTCTGTCCTTTGTATCTTATCCAGGCTGCTTAGGGCGGGCAGCACTCACACCTGTAACCCCAGCGATCTTGATCCTACCATGCACCATGAATCAATTCCAGTGTCACACATGCTAACCCGGCCACCTCTGAAAAACCCCACCTGTGACCGCGTGAGGCTTGGGGAGACAGCTAGACACAGCCATAACAATTATATGATAGTAACATCAGACTTACTGAATCTCAGAAAAGTTACTTAATGTTTCCTATAATAAATATGGGATATTTAAACATTTTATATTTTAGCTTATTAAGGTTATATAAGTAACTGAAAAGAATAACAAAAAGTTAAAAAAAAAACCTCTTTAATTTCCTTCCAGTTTTTTTTTTCAAAATGGATTATGTGCTTTTAAAACATACATGTTTAAAACTAGGTAGGCATGTGGAAATTATAAAATAGAAAATAAGGGCCAGGGATTTAGCTCAGTGGTTTTGCCACCTGCTGAGCAAGTGCAAGGACCTGAGTTCGATCCCTGGCACAAAAAAAAAAAAAAGAAAAGAATTTACAAATAACTTTTCAAATAATGGAGTAGCATCACAAACTGGGAGAAGGCTGTGATAGAGCCCTTTGCTGTAAACTAATGGTATTCGGATGGTACTGACACTATCAAGTTGATCTATTCTTTTGGGGTGGTGCTTTACATACTCTTGCTAAGGAAGGGTTTTTTGTTGTGTAAGAACACTGACTATTCTCGCTTTGAATACTCCTAGACTGGAGTTCCCATACTACTTTTCACACGTGGAAGTAAGGGTGCTGAGTAGAGTGATAGTTTTACTTTTGTCTAAAAGAACATTTGGGGCTGGGGATTTAGCTCAGTGGTTCCGCTGCCTGCCTCGCAAGTGCAAGGTCCTGAGTTAAATCCCCAGTACCAAGAAAAAAAAAAAAAGAATATTTGGCCACATTTCTCTGCAATGATCAGCAAAGGAAAGGATGTGCTTTTAGAAGATTCAATCTGAAGTTCAGAGAAGTAGAGCTCAACTTTGGCATGTGTGATTGTGCTCAGAGAAGTAGAGTAAGCCATGGATGACAAAGGTACACTACACCCATGGAAATCACCACAGTACTGGAATCCGGTACATCCAGCCCTCAGTTTTGTTAGGTGATTCTATGGCACGTCTTCCGGTTGGACATGACATCACAGGCACGTGGCCAATGCTCCTCACCCTGCACCCCTTACCTGGCGGTCCACCCAGGCCAAAGCATAGCAGTGGAAGTGCTGAGAGCCTGCGGAGGGTCACATTTTCTGCTGATTTTCAAACAAGTAATTTCCAACACCATTAGCTCAAATGACTGGCTTTCCTAAAGAAATCAGTCTAGATTACTGAAGGAAAATGGTTATGAAAAGTCTGTTACAAATCACATTCACTTTTGAAGCAGAGCTGAGACAAGAGCATGGATGCCCCATTCCTCATACCTGCTTTGCTCAGTGGGCCTAATAACTGAAAAACCAAAGGAATGCTTTAGATTGTGATCTCAGGTTTTCTTCATCTTCATGTTAGAGACATGAGCAGTGTATACAAGCCATTCACTCATTAGACAGAGGGTTTTCTTTAGTTCACCTTCAGAAGTGAAGAGCCGATGCAGTATCTGATGCTTGTAGATGACAGTATTCTTTGCCTAATAGTTAAATCATATATATATATATATATATATATATATATATATATATATATGAAAAGTTTTCATGGTTCAGCTACAAATATTCCCGTGTAAAATGGCTTCTCTTTGGATTCTTTCAGACTCTCACTTTTGGTGACATTGTCTGTGTTCGCCACTATGAGAAGATGTAGAGCCGTCCCGGGTGGGGCCGGATCAGCTCTCCAATGATTCTGTTCTCTCAGCTGCAGCTGAGCCCGTCACTGACTGGAACGAAGGTCACTCCTGAGGGGGAGGCAGAGAACAGTGACTGAAAAACGTGCTACTCCAAATAGCTAGCCTAATTTTGATATGCAAATTTATCATGCATTATGATTTCCATTAAAGTTTTATCACAATTTTTTATATAAAACATAAATTTTATAACTTCCTTCAAAATACAAATCAAATTGGAATAAAAAATCTTACACACTCATAAAATGTTGTTATTTTTAAAGTCATAAAGCTGTGTAGGGATTGTACCAGAGAGTTTTAAATAACCATTTGGAGAGCAGCAAGTCAGACAGCCAAGTTGGCACCTCGTATAAAATCTCATTTAAAAAGCCTCAGGAAATGCAGAGATGGTTTATTTTTATTTGAGATGTTCACGAAGAATTTGTGATGATTAAATTTATTTGTCCAGAAGCTAAGGAAGTCTTGTCGGTGGTGGGTTGGGCTTTTTGCTGCTAGAAACAGATGATCTGAAGAAATAGAATGATATGCTTCAAAATGTCTTATTGACATTTTATTGGCTGTCAAAGAATCAAAATGTCATGTAATTGATAAGTAATTCATCAAAGATTCTTTCTGAAAGGTAAACAGGAAAAGAAATGGATTTGATCCTGGTTTATTACAACGAGTCTCCAGGCAGCTATTGAAATGGACGAACAGAAGTGCTAACACAGTACCTAGCGCATGCATGACATCAGTCCAGTTCTTTTCTGGGGGCAATAGGAGGAAGTGGGTCCTTGGAACTGAGTTGACCAAACCAAATAATATGTTTGTGACCAGCTCTGAGTTCCAATTTGTAAAGTACAAGCAAATAAGTACTTTTTTGTATTTTATGATTTACAAAAAGCTTTATACACACTTTTTCAGTGCCACAATGTTAAGCAAGTAAGACAGGTGTTCATATTTTTATTTTACCGATGAGGAAATGGCACATCCAAGTTCTCATGACTAGTAAAGAATACCGAGAAATGCAACTTTTCTTCTGGTGCAAGATTTTATTTTCTCTGATTATTCCTTAGGAAACAATTCCTTTGTTAGCCTCTGGGGAGAGGGGGAAGGTAAATATTTTTCATGGCAAATACTTCAATAATCATTCAGCGACCTAGTGATTTCAGTCAACTTTTATAGGTTAATGCAAGGTCCAAGTAACTTACAGATACAAAATAGAGGGGAAGTTCCTTTAACTTGCAAATTCACTGTAATGATGCTCTTACCTGACTGCTGGAGGACACACTGATTATCCCTTATCTGAAATGCTTGAAAGCAGAACTGGTTTGGATTTTTCAGTGTTTTGATTTCAGAATATTTGCATACACATAACGAGGTATTCTAGGGATGAGACCCAAGCCTAATACGAAATTCACTTCTATTTCACATACTTCTTTTAGGACAAGCAGTATGGGGACTGAACCCAGGGCCTTAGCACTCAGCTATGTCCCGAGGCCTTTTGCATTTTTTATTTTGAGACAGGGTCTCATGAAGTCACCAAGTTTTCCAGGTTGGGGTGGGACCTGCATCCTCTGCTCAGGCTCTCAGAGAGCTGGGTTTATGGCATGTGCCACTACGCCCAGGTTATTACAGCTTTCCCGTATAGGCTGAAGGCAACTTGCTGCAATCTTTTTAGGTCCATGTTTGCCTGGGCTCTGTCACATGAGGTCAGGTGTGGCATTTTCCACCTGCAGTGTCACTCCAGTGCTCAGAAAGTTTGCACTTCTGAATTCCGGAATTTAGGGTTAGGAATGCTCAACACGTACTTTACTATAATGTAGGGCAGAAAAGGCTGAAGTGCACCTGTAGGCTGTATCATTTGAACACGAAATGATCCCTGCCAAGATCAGGTCACACAGCGGAGGGTGGTGGTCCTGCAGAGTCCACAGATGATCTTAAAGTGCGGAACCCACGGCGAGACTGAGAAGAGAGCCCACCCTCTGCTTCCCAGGAGAGCTGAGCTGTAACTCTGCTCGGTTTTAGCCCATGCTCTAGAGGCTCGGAGCCTGGCTTATCACTAGAGGGATCTCTCCTCAGCCCTGCCCCGAGGCCAAGTCACTCCCTGTTGATAAGAATTTCCGACAGAGTAAAGAACAGACAGGTCTTCCAGACTTGGGTGACCTATCAGGAAGCAATGTCACTGTGGGCTGAAGATCAAGGGTGGAGCGACAGACTGCATGCATACTTCCAGAAAGATGACTCACATTTCTGCTTCCTAAATTTTTAGAGCATAGTTGTCAATCATTTTCCTCCAAGTTCCGTGTCCCTTGGAAGCCTGTCATAATGACTTCTCCTGTTTCTGTACATCACCTCCCCCAGCAGTTAAAGGAAAGGGAAAATAGCTGAGACCAAAGCAATTTGAACAATGGGTCTGGCAAGAGCATTTCTGAAATTCTGAGGCTTGAGAGATACAAACTAGGCTAAAAGCTATTTTGCAAAAGGCAGTCATGGGCCACTGACAATAAGTCCACAGAAGTCTTCTGCCTTCATCTTACATGTTTTCTCTCCCCCAGTATTGTAGACTGCTAAGTTAGGTAGACATACAGGCAGTCAGACAGGGGGAGGCCCTCAAGGGACTCCGTGCAGAGGACGAGAATACATTACATCTGACGGCCAGGCCTCAAGATAATGACCAGGCCCACATACTCCCCAAGGGATACACAGTAAATTGAAGCGTATACTATAATTGGCATCACCTGGTCCCACAGTCTAGGCAGACATCAGTCACCAGGCAGGAGACCAGGACCTCCTGACCCAGCCTTTCCTAAAAAGGTCTGGTTCTTTCCATGTACACCTGCTACTCGACTTGCTTCCCCACAGGATCAATATTAGCTAAATGACTCTACTTGTAACCTTGCTGGTTGGTCATAGTTTTGATCCACGTTGAACTCACCTCGTGATTTTGTGGCCACCCTGTGATTTTGCTCTAGAAAACTCCCTCTGAGAAGTAGGCTCGTTGGCAACCCATTTTTGGGTCCCTTCCTGTCTCTTAGGAGCTCTTTCGCTCAATAAAGTCTTCCCACTCTTAACCTCCATTTTTCCTTAGAATTCCTTCTTGGATTTTGGGGAAAATGAACTGCATGCATCTGACATCTAGCAAGCTGGGAGCTTTATTATTTCCCCTGTATCACAGACCCGCACCTGGGACATGGGAGACCTCCAAACAGGGTGTGCTGTATCCGAGATGCTGGGGACCCCAAGGCCCTGTGCTCCTTGGAGAGCGAGTATGCAGGAGAACTAAAGAAAGCAAAGGGAGTGGAGGGAGGGTTGTGCTCCTACCCACTCATTTTAAGTTTACCTTTTTAGCCTTGGAAACATTTTGTAGGGTTCAAAACGTGCACGACTCCTCTTATGTGATCTTAAGATAACAACTCTGCTCTGAAAGAAATGAGAGTAGTTTATTCTGAGTCAAACGAGCGACCAAGTCGCTTTAGATTGACCATTTCAAACTAAATTGAAATTCAGATTCAAGTTACCCTGAATGCTAAGTTCCACAAAGGTGCACAGCCTTGGAAGGAAGGAAAGCCGGAAATCAGTACAGCTGCCCATTACTCGGGCGGAGCATCGGGTCAGCGGCCACTCTAACCGAGGAAACCGCTGCAGCCCTCAGGGTCGGCGGAGGACGCTCAGCTTCTCTGGATTAGGAGAAAGACAGTCAACTGCGCCCGAGGGGAAAGGGCCTAAGGAGGAGCTGATCTACTTCGCCGAGGGCAAGCCAAGCGGTCGGCGGGACTTTTAATCCACTCCATGCACTTTCTCCAGAGAGCTTCCGCTCGCAGTGCTTGCTTAAGGGAAGAACTATTTTGCAACCAGTTTACTTCTTGTGAGAGCTTTGGAAATTGGAAAAAGCAAAGCAAATGCAGACCCTAGACGGCAGGCAGGAGCTGCGGCAAGGGAGGGAGGCCTGGGCCAGTGCTGCTCCTCCACGCTCGCCGGCGGCCGAGGCAGGACAGGGCGGCCCTCTCCTGGGGTGAGTCACGGCCAAGGTGTTTTCTTCTTCAAAGGAAGCCCACGCCTTCTAAATGTGGGCTGTCGGCACGAGGTCCCGGAGGTCAGCTCGGGAGCCCGCGCTCAGCCCGCTGCTCCCCCGCGAGTCTGGGCCGCGACTGGCGCGTGCTCTGACTCAGCTGCGAAAACACAGCGCTGCCTGAGCGCTCCGCCCGGCGCACGTGACCGCGGCCTCCCCGACTCGGCCGGGCCCGGCTCTGCCCGGCTCTTTCCGTCTCTGCTCGGCTCCATGGCGCAGGCGCGCGCGCTGCTCGGCTACCTGCTGCTGGGGCTCGGCCTGGCGCTGCCCGGCGACCCCGCGGGTGAGTGGGGCGCGCGGGGCGGGGGCGCGCACGGCGTCGGGAGCGCGCGAGCCCCGGACGACCAGTCGCTGGCCCGGCTGCGGCCACGGACGGGGGCGCACGGCTCCTGCACCCTGGTTCCCGGCCCTGTCGGGTCTGTTTCGTCCCTGGGGCGCGGGAGAGCCGGGTCCCGCGGAGGGAGCCGCGATCCCGGGCGCCCCGGCTGCCTCTGCCGCCCGGGCCTGGGCCGCTGCCTGGCTCCCAGGTGGTGGGGACCTGCTGGGGACCCCGCTCCTCCCGCGGAGCAGGGCGGAGCTGCCCGACGTGCGGTTGCAGGCTGCTTGTTCTGTTTTGCAGGATTTCCTGTTCATGGGGCCACCAGCCTCCCTCTGCCTCCAGGGCTGTGTAAAAGGCTCTCTAGGCCTGGCCTCTGCCAGTTTCAGCTGCCAAGTGCAGGTGGCAGAGGGCGACACCGGAGGAGGAGCAGACGTAAACAAACACCCGCCTAGACAGCCCGCTGCGGGTCCACCCACACCTGAGCTAGGGTTCAGTGGGCGCTTTAGGGCTAGGTGTCACATCTCCCTTACGATCTTCCGGTAGCATTTGAACATTTATCTAGATATGTTGAGCTCGCACAGCCGCACGCATCCATTTTTGGAAATCCTTTTAAGGATTTTGTGTTGCGTAAAAGTAATTGGTGGCGTAAAGAACTTTGAAACGGGACCCAGATGAGCGTGTGTCACGCACGTGCTGTGCCCCCAGCCAGGTCTGTGGCCTTAGAAGCAGGCACGTGCATGCACACACACACACACACACACACACACGCGCGCGCGCGCGCGCAGCATTGTATAGACAGTGTCACGGGGCTGGGAGCTGAGGCCTCCCTAGGTCCACTGTTCATGACGCTCAGGTTAACAGCCGGCCAGAGCGCTGTTGTTTGGTTCTATTTATTTATTTATTTATTTGTTTATTTATTTATTTGTTTATTTATTTTTGGTACGGGGGATCGAACTCAGGACCTTGGGCTTGGGAGGCAGGCCCGGCACCACTGAGCTAAACCTCCGTCTGTTTGGTTCTATTTTAAGATGTCTTCCAGTGAATCTGAATATTTACCCTTTGTCTGACACAAAGGTGTGGCAACAACACGGAGGCTGAGAGGATCGTTCGGGATCAGCTTTCATTGCTGGTGTCTGGGACTTGGACCTTTCTGTGTGTACTGAATCCGTGTTGGCTATAACTTGGAAGAGGTGAAGTTCAGCTTCAAATTCAAGATACCTGACGCCCTCAGCTCTAAGGAGGAAAGGTTTATTGTGGCTCACAGTTTGTAGGTTTCAGTCCATAGTCTGCTGGCTCCAAGGCAGGGTGGCTTTGCAGAGGGGAAACAGCTCTTGGCATGGAAGGCAGGAAGCGGAGGGAGACCAAGGGAGAGGTGGGAGACAGACCCTTCCAGGCCACGCTGGTGACCACCTCCTCCTGCCAGGCTTCACCTCCCAACATCATGTTTAGCTGTCAGCTCATCAGTGGACAAATCCACTCTCACCTGGTAGTGTATTATACTCCCGTGATCCAGTCCCCTCCCCAAAGCCCCATCTATGAGCATATGGGGCTTTGGTGGGACATCTAGATAGAAACCGTAACACGGGATAATAACAGTGACACTAATGTAGAGCTTACTAGGTGCCTTCCCCCTCCTAGGGCTTCCTTTACTCTTGCCAAGTCTTTTATCCCCTGCAATGGGCAGTGTTACTATCCCCGAGCTGTGGACGAAGGAGGCCAGCATCTCCCTGCTAGATTAGAGGTGGGGAGCGCCCACTGGAAGTCAGGCAGTCTTAGTTCCAACCACCTCATTCTGCTTTAGCCCCTGCCTACTGCACCTTTACATTCTACAAATTTTACAGTCACGTGTTCACATAAAAATGACATGCACTGTGCAGCATATTTATGCCTGAGGAAAGGCAGCTTCTGCAATGATTCTGAGCTATTTGTCATCTCTACTTTGTGTGCTGGATTCTAAGCTGGAAATAAAAGTTAGGGTATTTTCTGAATTGTGGCATAAAATAAGTTACTCTTGGCAGATGTATTCCAGTGGTGTCTAAGAACCGAGTAATTGACTATCGTGACTTTTTTATGTCTACTCCCACCTGGATCTTTCATCTGCCACTGCTTGGGTGTGAACTTGTCTTATAAAATTATAATAGCATTGGCAAAGAACAGCCAAAGAGTTAACTCGTTTTTCCACCTTAGCAAATGGACTGTTTTCACTTTATTTTTCCAGCTGTGGGTTTTATTAAGTTTTGTCATCTTTGGATAGATAGAAGTTTGCATTGTACTCGTTCCTTCTGGCACAGTACATGCTGTGTGATTTCAGACATAAAGTTAAAAAACCTGTGCATGTGTGTATTTTAAGAGTCTATTTTGAAAGTCACTTAAAATCAAAGTTAAGGGGCTGGGATTTAGCTCAGTGGTTCTGCTGCCTACCTCAAAAGCGTAAGGTCCTGAGTTTGATCCCTGGTACAAAAAAAAACAAACAAACTCAGTTAAAGGCACTGAGAAAAAATGTACAGAATATGCTCCTTAAATACATAAAGTGATTAACTCAAAGGAAATACGTTCTCTTGTAACTCTGGAAATTAGATGTTTCCTAAAGGTTCTTATACTTCTGAAAAGGGGGGAAAATTATAGTGATTAAATCTGCCTTTTAATTATGTAAACCTACAAGAAAGAGTGAAAATATTTCAGTTAAAACAAGTTAAAAATTATATATAAGAAGGCATCAAAATCATTGAATTGACATGGAAATTATACATAAGGAAACTCGGTGGGGGCACAGGAGCTGAATCATCGTGCACTCTGGCAGCTTTCTGAACTGATCCAGCTTTAGTTTGTCAACTTTGCAATCAGAACCATGCTTCCAATTTCATAGAGTACTTCTGAGAATGAAATGGTGTATTGTATTTAAGCTGCTTGCCGCAGTGCCTGGCACATAATAAATACTTAATAGACAAAGGTATGACTACGACTATTTGTGTTAGTATTTCCTTCAACATGGAAAGCTTTCCTCCAATGATTAATAACCAGGGATGCTATCAAATGGGTTTGGCTTCTCCCTGAAAAGCCATTGCAGACGTCTTTAATAACTGCTTCCTGTAATGTTATTAATGCCTTGTGCCGGGATATGTTAGAAGGTATATATCTATTAACTATCTTTAAAAACCTCTGGGAATTCCTATTTTTGGCATATCGGTATTGTTAAAGATTTATGTTCTTTCTGAGGGGTAAGGATATATAAAAAGTAAACTGAGATACTCATTTGTTGGTTCTACAGACTTCCATTTTTGTAGTCTTGACAAACAGCATTGTATTTTCATATCATTTTTCCATAAGAAGAATGTAAATAGTTTCCCAGGCCTTCAGTTCTGATGGAGACATGCTATTAAGACACAATGTCACATCGCTGGCCTCTCAGAAGGATGTGCCTGTATACACCAATAAACAAACTCATCTTTGTTGTATGGCCCGTGTTTGGTAGTCATGCTAATACTGAACTCCTCCATTCCGACCCACCCAAGTCCTGTATTCTTCCTATTGTTCTTTGCATTTTCATCTTTCACAAGGAGGATTGTTTAACTCCATGGTGCAAGAACATGTAAATTACTAAGGCTTTCTTCCATCACGGAGAGGAACAACTGGTTCTGGTCTTACTATAAATATCTCTATGGGAATTCCAAAAGAGAATTAGATTTATCTACATTTTTTTGTGATCCACAGGAAAATTTTGTTTTTTAAATTTTTTTGTTAGTAGATGTTTTCACTACATAATAATCACATTCGTGATGGGGAGTTGGAACATGGACATGATGCATCTTAAGTCTTTTTTCATCCCCTTAGCCTCTCTTTCCTCCTCCCTCCCTCGCTTTGGTCCCCTGCCCATTTGCAAAAGATCTCTCTCCCTGTTTCCTATTACCTATCTTTTATTTTGCTCTTTTTAAAATTTATACTTTGGGTTTCTCATGTAAGAGAGACCATGTGGTATATAAGCTTGTGTGCCTGATTTATTTCGTGTAACATTATGGTGTCCAGCTGCATCCATTTTCCTACAAAGGACTCACATGTGACCTTCTTTATGCAAAGCAGTACTCTGTTGTGCATAAACACCACGTGGTCTTCTTTACCACAGGACGCTTTTGGCACGTGACTGACCTACACTTGGACCCTACTTACCACATCACAGATGACCACACCAAGGTGTGCAATTCGTCCAAAGGCGCCAATGCCTCCAACCCGGGCCCCTTCGGGGATGTTCTGTGTGATGCTCCGTATCGACTCATTTTGTCAGCTTTTGACTTTATTAAGAATTCAGGGCAAGAAGCGTCTTTCATGATCTGGACGGGGTGAGTCACTCTGCAGACACTTGGATTATCTAGCATTTAGCCACAGTGGACTGAGCTTCCACAGAGCGCTGCGTTCTATGAGAGGAGTAATTGTGTTTGAAGAATTAGCTGGTTAAAAACTATTAGGACAGTTTTCAAGGTCCTGGTGGTTTGTTTGTTTTTTTGTAATGCAGATTTTAGAAATTTGTCTTGTTAATTCTGAGCCGATTCTATTGATAGCACCCTTGCATCGATGTCTTGAGGTATTGATTAATGTCACAGTTGATCTTGATTAAGGGATCGGGCACAAAAGAAGACAGTGGGGTTGGCCTGGGATGACAGTTTTGTAAACTGTCTTTTTCTGGTGGCGTAATTAACTAGTCCCACCCATCACACTAGAGGGGCAAGGCTTATGTTTTTGGACCTGGGGTAATGACCCTGGTTCATTCTTGTAGAGTGTGTACTTCATGCTGTGTATTCTTTTAGTTAATTTATACCTTGCAACTTAATCGTTTTACAGCAAGCGTTACCATTGCTGCTGCTCTCATTTTACAGAAAGCACTGAGCATCTAAATAACGCATCCAAGTGTACACAGCGAGGAATAGCTAGACTGACTTTAGAATCCAGGCCTTTGACTCTGGGATCTGTGCTTTACTAATACAGTAAATTTTTGTTGCATATAAATCTTTAGTGAGGCAATGAAATAGACTGGGATTCCCAGTTCGTTTTTTGTATTGCATTTTTTTGAGACAGGGTCTCATTATGTTAACCTAGGCTGTTCTCAAACTCCTGGGCTCAAATGAGTCTCCTGCCTCAGCCTCCTGAGCAGCTGAGACCACAGGCACAAGCCAGCATGGCCAGCTCTAACCTCAGTCTGCTATTTTCAAGCACAAGTGTACAGTGATAGGTGTGTCAGGGTCTCTGTCTAGAGGCTCTCTATAAAAATTGATTCTGTTCTTGACAACCCTGCCTCCTTTTCAGCGATAGCCCACCTCACGTTCCGGTTCCCGAACTGTCCACAGACGCTGTCGTAAAGGTGATTGCTAACATGACAGTGACCATCCAGAGCTTCTTTCCGAATCTCCAGGTGTTCCCTACACTGGGCAATCATGACTACTGGCCACAGGTAGGTTTGAGGTCACCTTCCAGAAGTACTTGGAGGATTATTCCCGGACTAGTGTCACGTTATGACAGTAATGAAGCCGGCGGTGGCATGCAGTCTCGTGTAGGCAGAGCATACTGTTAACGGTAACCATTGAGTAAAGAAAGATAGATGCCTTGGGGACTTTCGAAGGATATTTTAAATAATTAATAAAAAGTCACATCGGTGAGTTTTCAGAAGCAAATTATCCATTTGTTGTGGTTAATTCCTGTTTTCCTTTATAGTCCTGTTTCGCCTTTCTTTTGAATACTTTCTTGCTCATTGCATTTCCTTGACAGGGTTGGCAAGGACTATCAATGTTGACAGATGTTTACATTTTCCAGAATGGCACACAAAGAGCTGTGTACTCTGATAAAAGCTAAATGATAATTAAAAACACAAAATGTAACAAACTACAATAGGAGTCAAAGAGGGAAGTGAATGTTCACATCCAGCTTACCTAATTAAAATGTTACTCAAGGCAGAAACTGTTCAGAACGCCTGATGTGGTCCTGGCTCCTGGCCATCAGGTAGCTCTTTGTTAAGCTACCTGTGCATAACAGCTGGGCTCCAGTTGTGGTGACAGTGTCCTGTTTCCACAGTGTAGAATCTCAGATTTGTATAGATTCAAGAGGTCCCAGAGAACGCTATTTAGTCCAAGGCCTGGCAAACTGTGACTTGATTCAAATTTGGCCCATGGCCTGTGCTTGTAAGTGAAGTTTCGTGGAACACACCCCGTTTTCGTTCTGTGGGTGCTTTTGTGCTACACTGGCAGAGTAGAACAGTTGTCATAAAGACCCGTGGTTCGTAAGCCTGAGGGATGTAGCACCCTTCTCTGTAAACGAGTTTGCTACCCCCAGACTGGACCAACCCTCCATTCATAAATGAGAAAACGGAGGCCCAGAAATGCTGAGTCGTGTGCACGGCTTGCAGACACTTAGTGGGAGAGCCCACATGCGGGCCCTTTTCATTCCAGCCCTGTGCTCAGATGCATCCCTTCACACATCCACCCCGCCCCTGGCGACAGGGCGCATGAGCCTTCTCTCTGTAGGCGTTTGCCTTCAGCCTGTTTGTGCTGGGCGCCCCCTGCTTGATGCCTTCCTCATCAGCTGGATGAAACCATCGTCTGAGACCCGAACTAGATTCTCTCCTCACTCTCCACCCCAGGCCGGTGTCCCTGCCCTCTGCCCACAGGACCTCCGCGGGAGCACTGGCCCAGCGTCCTGTGACGTTTGATTATGTTTTGTCCCCCTTCCCCCAACTAAGTTCAAAATCCCTTGAAGCCTGAGTAGCCGTGCTTTACCTACAGATGTTTAGCAGAATAGTCGATGTCACGTCATGCTGACGTTAACTAATCCACGTATCTGAGTCTCAGTGGCGGGTTCTGTTGTTTGTGGCCAGGATCAGCTGCCCATAGCCACCAGTCAGGTGTACGACGCCGTGGCCGACCTCTGGAAAGCGTGGCTGGATGAAGAGGCCCTGAGTACCCTCAGGAAAGGTAAGAGGAAGGCTGGCTTGGGTCTCCTCTCTCGCTCATGCTGTTTGAGCTGAAGACTTCAAGGTCTGCTTGGGCCGGCTTTGCCAGGCACCTCAGCACCCGATTTCCCCAGAGGACAGTGAGTAGTGACATGGCCTCAGGACCCGTGTGGGGCACCTGCTTGTATTGTAGTGGGCCCTTTCCTTCCTGTTTCACTCTGTCAGGATGCTCCTCACCAAGCAAACACTGACGTCAAACTTGAATGTGAATGGAAGTATGTGTTGTGAGTTGGAAAACAGATGGCATGCACACTAACCTGTAACCAAGCCAGCACTATTTTAGGAAGCAGCTGGCAAAGTAAGACTGATGAAGCTTTGCACACAGACCTGGGGAGGCTTGAAAAGCACTGCAGAGTTGTTGCCTTTTCTGGTACTGTCTAAAGCCCCCCTGTCCAGTGCCTCTGGCCCATTGATATGAAGCCCTCAGCTGGTGTGAGCTTCTCTGGGAGAAAAGATCTGGTCAATGAGGTTTAGTGCTTTTAAAGTTTGGAGATAATTCAGTTAATGGCTAGACTTTTCCCCAGTCAAAATTTTTCCTTCACTCTTTTCCTTAAACCCTGGGCTTCTGCCACCATATTGTCCTTGTTTTTGCTAACACTGAGCAGATCAGAATACATATGAATTTGAGATTTGCTACCTTAGAATCAGGCCATAATTCTGATTCATCTGGGGACCTGTATCTGGCCCTACCTACCCGAGCCAGAAATGTACATGGAGAGTTTGTGGACATCAAAGGAGGAGCCGCAGAATGCAGTAGGACTCCAAAGGAGTCACAGTGGATTTTAAGGAGGCCCCGCTCACTGCAGAGAGACAGGCAGCACTGACCAGGGAGTCAAATGAGTTTCCCAAGGATGTCCATCCAGCGAGGTTGCCCACTTTCCGGTGAGCCCTTGAGGATGGAATGAATGCTGAAAATGTAAAGGTCTTTCTATTAAGTCTTAAAAGCAAAAGAGTGTTGAGCAGAGATGCCACACATGCAGGGTTCCAGCTCTGCCCTCCCAGAGTCCCTGGGGAGAACTGTGGTCATCTTCTATGCCGGGATGTAAGGGCCAGCTTTGCAGAAGTAGGCCTCCCACCACCAGAGCAAAAACTCCAAGTGTAATGACAACAGCAAAGAAGCAGCGACCTGTAGTGACGGAAAGCCAAGGCAAGGTGTGGCTGGCGAGCCATCCGTCCGGGCCTAGAGCAGGCCCAGGCTGTCAAGGCCAGATCTGAGAGTCCCCTGGCAGTGGACTCCTGGGTGCCTGACACAGTGGGGCTAGAGGAGTTCATGGGGCCAGGCTTTTCAGCCTGTTCCGAGCAGACTGCAGCTCTGGTTGATCTGACGTTTGTTCCTCAGTGTCTCTAGTGAGATCAGTGTGTGTGCCCTACTTTAGGCTCTGTCTTATCAACTCTCCAATCATAAAAAAGTAGGGGTTGACGTGTGAATCCTTGTTTTAACATCAACTTCAGTCACATTGCTCACTGCCTGAACATTTCATTATCTTTTCCTCTGAATATTGGATACGACTGTCATTATCTCAGTGTGCACACCATTGGAGTTGGCACATTTTAATAAATGTTTGTTAAATCTTATACTTACCTAAACTCTGAGAAATAAGTTGAATTTTCCTGACTACATTGTAAACCTTAAGAATTTGCTTTGACAGTGTCTGAATATATGTGTGTATGTGCTTCTAAAATGTGCTTTAAAATTGCTTTTTTAGCTGGCTTTTATTCACAGAAAGTCCCGGGTAACCCAAACCTGAGGATCGTCAGTCTGAACACGAACTTGTACTATGGCCCCAACGCTGTGACCTTGAACCAGACGGACCCCGCACACCAGTTTGAATGGCTGGAAAATACCCTGACTAGCTCTCAGCAAAACAAAGAGAAGGTAGATCCCATAGACCAACACCATTTGTTTATTTATTGAACTTGGGATAGAATCCGGTATTAAGAAAAGAAAAACAATAAAATTCGAAAATGTAAAAAAATTGTGACCAAGACCTCAGTTACAGTGACCAAGACTCAGTTTATATCAACAGAAGTGTAGTATAAATGATATGAGAGCTAATATAGTGACTTTAACAGCTTCTTAATTTTCATCTCTTCTTTCATCATAAATGGAAGAGATGCTATATTTGTTTTTTAAAATTTTAATACATTTTCAATGGATGCAGTTTGAGATTATAAGGTTAAGTAAAATAAATCAGACACACAAGCTTAAATATCACATAGCTTCTCTTGTATGAGAAACCCAAAGTATAAATAATTTAAAACAAAGCACCAAGGTTGACAACAGGAAACAGGGAGATCTTTTGCAAGTGGAAAGGTTTGTAGAGACCGAGGGAGGGGGAAGGAAGGGAAGAGAAGGGGAATAAAAAGAATGAAGATGTGCCACACGTACCTGCTTCTTAAGATGAATGCAAATATTATGTATGTACTAATCAAAACCAAACCAAAGAGAAAGAGAGTTAATACATTTTCAGCCCCTGGGCATCCGTAAGTCACTCAGCTGTGACAGGCGTGAGTGGGGAGGGGCCTCACCATCCCCCCCCCCCCGCCCCGCCCCAGGTGTTCCTCATTGCGCATGTGCCCGTGGGCTACCTGCCCCAGTCCACGGGCATCACTGCGGTGCGGCAGTACTACAACGAGCGGCTGGTGGCGCTGCTCCGGAGGTACAGCGCTGTCGTCGCCGGGCAGTTCTACGGCCACATGCACAGGGACAGCCTCATGGTGCTTTCCGACGGAGAAGGTAGGGCAACGGGCGCTTTGCATCTCCTGGTCCGAGGGCTGGAGCAGGCTGTGCCGGCCCAGGGGTCCCGGGCGCGGGAAGTTCAAGGTTTCTCAGCAGACTTGCAGCTCCAGCCTTTTCGGAGTCGCCTTACACTGCTGAGGGACCAGTGTCCTCTCAAGACGCGGCTTGTCACTGGCTCCTGCAGCAGGCTTCTGCACGGGGCCATCCTGCCTGTTGTCCACACTGAAGACTGAAGCCTTCCATTCTCTGCGGTTCTTTAGACACCTGGAGACTTGATGCTGTTTGTGACTTACCTGCTGGATTTGAGGTTCTTTTCATTGGACTTCTCGTAGCTCTCCGATCTAACAAACAACACACCTTACATGATCCCTCGGCTACGCTAAGCCTTCCTCAGAGGTGCTCGCTTGCAGCGACAGAAAAGAAATAGAAGTTCTGGCAAGGAATGGAGAGTTCACAAAATAATAATTCTGATTTTATAGTGAATAGGAAGAAAATAACTGTCCATTTTCTTAAGTAACTGGGGAACCTTTTTGAAATATTTACCTCTCATCTAGAATGAATTGGCTTGGCAAAAATGACTACTTTTTAGCATTTGATAATTTTTTAACACAGAAAAATATACTTTTCAATAGATCTTTATATTATATAGTGACACATTAACCAAATTCTTATTATGTACTTTTTGGAATATTGTTTTTGGTAGATGTACAGAACAAACTGGGTTTTTATTTGTGTGTGTGTACTTGTGATAAACTTGGACTTTTTTAATTATGAAAAATTTCAAATATATATATATATATATGCAGAAAGAATGATACAACAAACCCATATGCACTCATTATTCATATTCATTATCTGTCAGTATCAAGATTTCGCCACACTGCTTTACCTGTCATCCACATGTGACATTTATGTCATATATGTACATCTGAAGCACTTATAAAAGTGAATCTCAGACATCAGATCCAGCTCAGCTCTGCATACTTCTGTTTTCATTGTGAAAATATGTGAATGACTCATATAACTATAACATTTCCTTAACTAGTGAAGCCAGCAGTAATTCTGTGGTGTTGATATTAGAAATTCTCCTAGGCCGTCAGATGCATCCCTGTCATTGCTCCAAGTCAGGCTCCACCGATGATCACACATCATTTGCTTGTTATGTCTGTGAACCTCTTCGTCTGGAAGCTGCTCATGTTTTTAATATAACTAAACTCAGTTAAAATATATATCTGCATATGTGTTTTCCAGGACGGCCAGTGAGTTCTCTGTTTGTGTCTCCTGCTGTTACACCAGTGAGGAATGTTTTAGAAAAGGAAACCAACAATCCGGGTGTCCGCCTCTTCCAGTACAACCCTGGAGATTACACGTTATTGGTAAGTGGGCACCACTGTGGGCTTGGCTCCATAGCCGCACACCTGGAGGGCTCTGTGGGATCAGTGGAGGTTTCTCAGCCTGGCCTCAGAGCTGCACTCTGCAGAGACCTCAGGACAGTGCCTTTCTTTCTGTCCTGGAATGTCTGTCCATGCTTGGCCAGGGTGGGCTGGTGAGGTTGACTCTTGGGAGGCTTTTCTGACCCTCTGAGGACCTCCCTCTGATTTAGATGAAGGCTTCCTTGGTGGCACCTCAGGGTGAACTACATGAGCACTGAACAACTTCTCCAAAGAATAACCCTCCGCTGGAGCCCCACTGTGTTGGGCTGTATTACCCAGCACCACTGTTTCCCATGGTATCCCTTCCCAAACTGCAAATCAAACTGGAACTGAATTCAGTGAGCTGCTGTCAGAATAATTTCAACAGATCCATGTAATGCATTTAGAAAAATGCTTGACCCATACTAAGTGCTTAGTAGATGTTTGAAAAAAATTTTTAAAGAAAAAAATTGAATTGGACACTTACCTTGGAGACGAAAGTTCTCTGAAGCTTATTCATGGCTCTATGCTTTAGAAAAATTCAGCATCAAAGGACTGACCGCTTAGATTATAAGAACTTCAGGTTGGACAACTGCTCTTTCCTACAAATGCAATTTGAAAAGAGTTTGCCTCAATTAAAGCAATTATTGATTTAATTGCATTTTCCAAAATAAATTTAATTGAGAGATGGCTGTTTTTCCCTGTGATGATAGAAGAAGTGATATTGTGACTGAATCTCTTTTTCTCTAAAACCAATTTTAATGCTAATGGTTTTAAATTCAACATACCGTATAAAGGTTAAGAAGCACTCTCCACCTTGCATCATGATTTCTGTGCCAAAAAATGACCCAGAGCTGTGACTATTGTTAACTGCAGGACATGTTGCAGTATTACTTGAACCTGACAGAAGCAAACCTGAAGGGCGAATCCAACTGGAAGCTGGAGTACAGCCTGACTCAGACCTACGGCGTTGGAGATCTGCGGCCGCAGAGTTTATATGGACTGGCGAAGCAGTTTGCAACCCCGGACAGCAAGCAGTTCGTCAAATACTACAATTATTTCTTTGTGAGTTATGACAGCAGTGTAGTTTGTGATGAGAAGTGTAAGGCCCTGCAGATCTGTGCCATTATGAATCTTGATCGGGCTTCCTACTCAGGCTGCCTCCAGCAGCACCTTGGAGAGCGCAGGCCCTAGAGCCAGACTGTGTTGGGGCACACGCAGCGCTGGTGTTCCCAAGGCCAGTTTGTGGATCGTAGTTAAAATCTTTGTGAGTTACTGAGCGAGCAAACAGAATGACTGTCTTTGCTTTGTTTTCTAATCATGCCCATGTATAGATATCTGTAACATTCTACATTTTTATTACATCAAATATATCTAGACAGCCCATTCACAGAATTATGTTTGGATGTACATAGCCTACCTTCCCTTTTATTTGATTGTATCTAACTTATACTTTTGTTGGATTGTTACTCATACAATAAACCAAAAGACTTCTTCTCTCTAAGCATGACAGAGTATTTTTGATGTGATAATTTTCAGGCCTTTAATTCACGCTTGTTAAAATCTCAGAGTAAATGGGTTCAGACTGTCGCCAGCTCAGGTGTACAGTGAGGTCAGTAGGGTTTCCATGCATGGACTCCTCTTGGGCAACACTGAGGCTCATTAGGGCCAGTTCTGTATCTACAGAGCATCCCGGGGAGCCCTGCCAGGCCTTGTCATCTGTGAGGGGCAGCACTGCTAACTCTGAAGGGTGAGAACATCAAAAGTTGTACATAGTGCAACCCCAGCCCCATGCTCTGGACTTTTGCTGAAATTGTGGGCTGATAGGTCCATTGTAGGTTAAAGATCGTGACATCTCCCTGAGTGGCTTTCGAAGGCAATGGGCTTTATGCCAGTGGCAGAAAGCTGAAACTTCACTAGCTGAGAGGAGGGAAATGTGACCATTTCTGGGTCAGTTCCCCTCTCTCCCTCCCTCTTTCTCTCTTTCTGTCTCTCTGTCTTTCTTTCTTGCATGTTTGTGACACTTTATTCATATTTATGTCCTCCCTGCCTAACAGGGTGTCAATAAGTAGGTAAGCGATTCCCTTAACTGCCACGATGAAGTGATACTGGGTGACTGAAACAAGAGGAGGTTATTTACTCACAGTTCTGGAGGCTGGAAGTCCCAAGGCCAAGGTGCTGCCGGGTTGGCTTTTTGGTGGGGCGTCTCTTCCTTGCCTTCTCTTGTGCCCTTTGCTCGGGGGTCCTCACGTGGCATTGGGGGCAGGGAGGGGAGTGACAGAGAGGGAGAGAGGGAGTCAGGTGTGAGCGAGCTCCGGTCTCTCTCTGCTTGGAAGGATATTATTCCCGTGGCATTAGGCCCACCCTTCTTGCCTCACTGGATCTTGACTTCCTCCCCAGTGACTGTTCCAACACAGGCACGTTAGCGGTCAGGGCGTGGACGCAGGAGCTTGGATGTGCTGAGGCCCTTTCTCACTGAGTAGCAGAGGTCCTGGCTTCAGACGGAAGCTTGTGGCAGGGCAGCAGCACACCCTGACGGGTCGTGGCCCACAGCCGGCCCCTCTAGCTGGCCCGTGCACCCACATTTCAGTCTGCAGAGGTGATTCTGGCCTGCTGGGCTCAGGAGAGGGAACCGAGACAAAGGTGGGCCTGTGGGGAAATAGTAAACGATGGCCGTCCACCCTCGTGCTCAGGAAGCGAGGCGGCTTGCTGACTGGCCAGTCCCCCACCGTGACAGGAAGGCCCTGCGAGTCGAGCCTCCAGGCAGAGAAGTCTGAGGCTGCTGCAGCTTCTCTTCTCCTTTCAGTTGCAGCCAAGCTACCAGACCTCTGGGGAGCAAGTGACGATGTGAAGTAGGCACCCCGTTTCTGGACACAGTGATCACGAAAAGTTCCGAACCTCGTGTTTCCTTTCATTAATGCTCAAAGGGAGCCAAGTGCACTTGATGGAAGAACAAAGTGGAGCTGAAATGAGAGAACACAAACCTCACACTCTTCAGCGTGGCTCTGGGGAGCACGAGCTTATGTACAAATAACACTGCACCGTGTGGCTCTGAGCAGCAGCCGCTCCATGGGTACCGACTGAGTTGGTCTGATGTTCCAGGCACTGTCCTCAGTGCCAGGGTGCCCTCGAGCAGTGGGCACAGAAAGGAGGTTCCTGGGCTGGTGGAGTTTGAGCATCAGTGTGAGGTGTGTGTGCATGTGTGTAAGGTAACACTGATTGCCTTTAGCCACAACACATGCAGTCAAGTCTGATGTATTAAGCTCTTGTGTCTTCCAGAGCCACCTTCCTCTCAGATTCCACTCCATTCCAAGGGAACCCGCAAGGCCCCGATTGTCAGGGCACGAAACAGGCGCCAGAAATACTGACAGCTCAACTACAAAGGGTCCGCTTAGGAAATCCGTGGGAGGACAATCAAAGGTCACAAAGTGACTGCTTTGTGGGAAAGCATGTAATTTTATGGACACGGAGCTGGTTATCCACATAAAGGAAGAAAGCCCCTATTCTGAGTCTCAGGAGATTTTATTGTATAATGAGGCACCTGTCTGATAGTTCAAAACCCTTTTCATGAGTGAGCCTGGGCCCTCGATTCTCTGATCTCGAGGCCACAGAGGGTGGCGCTGGGCACGATGCCACTATGCAACGGGGGGCATTTCATGTTCGGCTCCCACCTGGCTCCCCACAGGCCTTAGGCACCATAGCAACAGCCTCAGGTGGTTTCTCTTTACCTGAAGACTCATTAACCACCTGTCCCTTCCAGTCTAGCTAGAATCTAGCTGAAGTCTGTGTGTGTGTGTGTGGTTTTTTTAATTAATCTTTGGGGAAGTGTTCATAGCAATTATTTTAGAATATTTGGGTATTAAAATCCTTCCAAGATAAAAAGATTTTAAAATTCAAAATAGCATTGAGGAACTATATTTTAGTATATTTGTTTGCTTTATCAGAAAGAATCAAAATCTTTCCTTTAGAATCTTCATGCTTAAGGAGCAAAAGGGATACAACCTTCAATAAGAGCACATTTAAGATGCTATTTGTCTTCCTCACTAGTTTCAAATATTAGCATCATTACTAGATCAATCTATTCTAATACCTATAAACGACTCATTAAGGAAATTCAGATTGTTAAACAAAACTGCCCAGCATTTTATGAGTTTCCTAGATGGACTTTGAGAATGGTTCCATTAGCGCTTTACTATTTCAGAAGCATTTTAATCTATCTTCCCCATTATTTCTGGGCAGAGCTGGCTCAGAAGGATTAGGTGAATGCTCAAGGGAAATCTCTAAGTGAAGAAGCAGAAACTCACACCTATGTCTTCCGACTTCCGGTTCAGAACTGCTCCACCCTGTGAGTGAAACTGGCAGTTCACCAATGCACAACTCCTGAAACACACAGGGCCCTGTACCCGAATTGGTTTCAGTTGTTTTCGCAGCTGCGTCAGAGGAGGGACTTTCTCCGCCCTGTCTGCGGGGGGCGCAAGACCCGCTGAGCCCTCAGCAGCAGCACAGCCTCAGCCGGCCCGCCCGCAGGTCTCAGCCCCCTCCCTGCTGCAGGTGAGCGGGAAACGGCAGTACGAGCCTGCATGATGCTTCCTGACTTGCTTCTCTTAAAACCGTTGTTTTATGTTTTGGCTCCATTTTCTCCTGACCAGGATATAATTTACAAATAATTCAAGAAACAGCCTGTCCTCTTCCCATTACTTCTGGGTAGGCAAAAATGTAACTTTTGAAATATGAGTTAACTTTTTTATAATCTTGAGTTTGGTGTATTCAATGCATAGTTACTTTCAAATTTGTTGCTAGAAAGATCTGTATCTTCTGACTTCTCATTATGTTCTTTATGAGGTTCAGTAATTATTCACTTGGCAAGGTCTATTAAACTTCTATTTATACAAAGTGTGCAGGTAGTTCCAATAAACCTGGACGTTCCAATCTATGGAATGGTTTTCATGTTTCTGAACTGATATTAAATGGTTAAAGGACCCCAGGGCATGTGACTTTAAAAGGACTCATCTTTGGATAAACATCCACTAATCCCTTATTCAGGAAGGGAAAAATCTTACAACTGCATGGGGAATAAAAAAAGGATTGTACTGGAAAACTATAACCGTATATAGTTTATATCATGTCCAAAAACTTTCTTAGGCAGCTTAAGTAATAGTAACTACTACTACTATTACTGATACTGCTACAACACACACACACACACACACACACACACACACACACCCAGTAGAGTACTCATACAAGAGGAAAGGCTTTTCATTCAAAGATATGAGAGTGGAAAAAAAATATTTCTTATTTCCCAATAAATCAACAAATTACGTATTTGATAAAATTGTATAGATGACTTTCAACATATCTAAAGGCATAAAAGTGAAAAATGACAAAACTCCAAAATTCTTTTAAAACTTTCTACTAACATAGTTTTTTCAAAAGATACAAAATGATTTCTTAAGCCAACACATCAATAATAATTTCAAGTAAGTATCATAAATGGATGTTAAAACTAGTGGGTAAGTCTTCAGAGGAACAATAAATTGCATTAATTCAATGAATCTCTACAGATTATAAACTGACTATAAAAATTTTTTTTAA